ATAGAATCCGTATATTCAAGTCTTGGTATTTTATTAATCACAAGAAGTTGTGATTGTGAGAAACAAATTACATATGACTAAGTCTTAAATCATTCGTAGTCGTAAGTAATAACGAGATACCGATATCATTATTACAGCTAGCCAATCATGTGAGACATTTCTTACTTGTGAAGTAAGTAGCTTATCTCACAAGTCAAAGTATGGTGACACTTAAATGAATACATGTGGATGTTTTGTTATAGAACAAAACATTGGAGACCCACTGGGCAGATTTCACATGGATAACTATCTGAGTGTCAGTGGTTAATCTCTAACGTTCGGTAGTGGAATTAATCTTTTGACTTGCGGTCATCATAGTGCATTATATGAGGACAGTCATACTTTGGATTGTATAGTGACTTTTTCATATTTATGTACTGGAAACCAATATATTGAGGAGTGGATATAGTAGGTCTCAAAAGATCATGCTAAAATTAACTACTTATAAGTTATAAATTGGTTATGCAGAAGAATTCGAGAAAGCCATTTAACATATTAAACAAGTCAATTAGATACTTAAATTTAGTGCCTATGTATAATACTTAAACGAATAAAACAATCTTCAAAAACAATACCTTGTATGTGGTTATAATTTTTCTTTAGACGAATAAAAAGTGAGAAATGAAACATACCATGTAACATTTCAGATACGATGCCATTACTGTAATGATCATACACCATGAGCTTTTCGTCTTTGGAAAAATAGTAAGCCTTCAATGAACACACATTTTCGTGCCTGGCATTTCTAATGACCTCCATCTGTTGTCTAAACTTCTTTTCTGACTACATTCAATCTTTTGACACAACTGTACTCCATTATCCATAGCTGCCATATATGCACTTCCAAATGTTCGATTCCCCAGAAACTGAGCAGTAGACCTCAACATGTCTTCGAAGTAAAAAAGATGACTAAAACTCTGAACAAATACCAGGTCAGAAACATCCTTCTCAACATATTTTTCTTTTTTATGTAAATTTTCAACTACAGATAGAGGTAGCTTATGATAAGGAAATGAACCTCCAGGGCTTGAAAAATCATAAGGTACATCAAGGACTTGAGAATCCAAACTGAAATCAGACGATATGGAGCTGAGCATTGGTTTTTTTGTGTTCTTTTAGTTGATTTCTAAACTAGATATCAAAGATTTCTCTTGGATTTGAACGACAAATGGTATCAGAGCTTGTGTTGTTAAGAAATCTATGATTTTTAGGTTAAAACCCGGTTGGAACATGTAGAAATTGAGGCTTGAAAATAGGCAGAAAACTGGACCAAATTTTGCCAAATTTTTTTAAAACTAGCCAGACCTGCATTTTTCGGCCAAACTAGTGGCTAGTTGAAGAAACGGAGACCACCGATGGCCTTGAAAGGTGAAGGCACAACTAGAGGTGGCGCACATGGTGGCAGGCGGTAGAGCATGGACGCAGTCCCGTGGGACTTCGAACAAGCATGTACAGGTACGTGAGTCGAATTTCGACGACGACATCCAAAGACAGAATGTTGTCTACGGTTCGTCTCCTGTGGTGTTGTCGAATTTCAATTTCGGGCGATACGGTGAAAATTGAACGATTTTTTCCTTCGAAGTCTAGGTGTTGGGTGCCATTTTGCGTTGCAGCAGTTGTTTGAAACTTTAGGCCAAATAGTGGCGGTCCTAAAGTGGTGAATTCGCATATCTCGCTATTTATGGACCTTCAGACAAAGTCCACTCTATATTTTGTTCTTTCCATTTTATTATTGTAGTTATGGTTATCGTGCAGGGTAACAATTTATTTTTTACATTAGAAGTCATTGTTTGGGGTGATATTAGGATTGGAGTTACTGTGAAGGGTAACCATTGCCTAGCAATTGCTAAACCTAAGAATTACTTGTTAATTATTTATCTTGAATTCTTTGTGTATTTGTTGCCAATTAAATTTTTCATTATTAGAATTGAACGTGATCTTAGAAATGTTTATTTGACTATTCTGTCTGAATTGTATCGATACTTTACTTATGGTCGTTGTTGATTGTATTTTGTGTTTTTTGCATTTTTTGGATAAAATACAACGCATTTTGAATTATGTTTTTTCTAATGAAAAAAATGTTAATTTTTAATTTAGCAAAAGTAAGGGTTTTTCAAAAAAAATCTTTTGATGGTAAATACATGTTTAAGGCAAGTGCGAAAAATAAGATGTGTTTTAATTACAGTAAACTTGGACATGGTCGAAAAAGACTATCCTAGGAAGGATAATAAAATGATAGATGAGGAGAGTGGTGGGTCGAATGCTGTCATTGGGCCGAGTAATGTCCCGTGTGAGGTTTATTGATTGTGAACTTGGTTACTGCATATGCATTTACGTGTAATCATTTCTGCATGTGTACGATTGCTTAATTCTGTTGCATGGTTATATGACACATTTCAATATATTTGATATGTGCATTTGCATAAATTTGAGAGCAATTTGATTACTTTGTGTAATGTGTTTGCATGCATAGTGGGTTGAGATCTATGGTGTAGTCCTTTTACTCTGTGAGTGGTGTAAGGAAGTGTGGTAATGAGAAGAAAGAGGGGTAGCCATTTTCTCCTTTATCTTTGTGAGCCTGTGTGGTTTATAAAATTATGTGAAGCAGCCATGTGAGGGATATATTCCTTCTCTTTAGGAGCCTCTTTTATGAGTGTAGTGAAGCAAGCAACTCTTTCTTCTATTCTCTTAGTGAGTGACAACTTCACCCTTCCCTTCGTGGGATAAATCATTTATGAATTTTTTGAGCATTGGTGTTGGAGCTATCATGTGGTGCGTTGATTGATTGAAATTGAGCCCTAACCTTTGTGGTCACCAAATGTGTTGATTTTTGCCATAGTAGGTTTGAGATGCATTAGCAGTAAGTGTATTGTGTGTCTTTTGGTAAGGTGGAGTATAGATGCCTAGAGGTTCATTGGTGATATACACGGGAATGTGGAGTGTGACATTTGGATCACGAGTAGAGATGTGATTAAATGCTGGAATTCTTTATCTGTGAAAGACCTTGTACAAGTGGAGTGTGAAAGATGCACTTCTATCACTTCTATTAGGTAGAGACTCATTATCCACTTAGGTTGGGAGAAGTAATGTATTGATAAAGGATTATCCTGAAAACTTAGAATCTATTGTGATGTACTAGTTAGACATAGGTTGAGTGGTCAGTCTGGTGAACATGGTGGGTGATGAGAGAAGATATGTGTTCTCAAGGTGTGGGCAATACAGAATGGAATAAGATAAGTGTGGTGAGATCTTTTTCGTAGGGTCATTTATGCATTTGTTGCATATGTGTTGGCCATTTGATTGATTAACTTGGTGTTAGTCTATTGTTCCGTGTGAACATATTTGAAAAGGTATGTGTGTTATCCTATATTATATTTTCATCGCATGTTTATTTACTCTTGATTGTTCACTGTAATTATCTACTTCTACTTAGATATTTGTTTGTAACATTAGCCCTGGTGAGTACATGAAGTAGGTATGGTATCTGTTTCGCGTTCAAAGCACGAGGTGAGGTCTGTGATATCAATTAGATTGGTTACCTTAATTATGCAAGTATAAACTTTGTGTTTTGTTTCCTTTTAGGTTGATTAGGTATCAATGTGTAGATTTGTTGAGTTTGGATACCTAATAAACTCGGACGATAATGATAAAATCGATGTCTGGAATTTTATCGACACTAAAATGATGGCTCGACCAGGAAACAACTTTGAACACTTTAGGATGACCCATGAGTTTAGCCCAAGTAGTGTTTATTAAGTTGGGTTATTGATTCGTGACTTTGGATTATTATTGGCCCATTTAGAGAATAAGTTGGCCCATAATTGGAATGACCTAATTTGAGGGTTATATACACCTGTCTTAGCTGTTTTTCCCCTTCAAGTTTGAATTTGGGTGTGTGCAAGAGTGGAGAGAAAATAAGAAAGAAGAGGAAGCCGGGTTTCTTTGAGAAATTCCACCATTGTTTTCTTCTACTTTTTCTTTCACCATAGTGGCTCTACAATCACCATCTTCATCTCCATAGTTGGGTGGAAACCATAGTGGCAACCAAGTGTTTAAGTTTATGAGTCGAGAGCCTTGGTTCGTTTGGTTGATTTCAGAGCTCAATATCAAAAATTTCTCTTGGATTTGAACGGCAATGTATCTCAATTTTCACTCAGTATTGAAAATACAACATTAACATTTGACCTTGGAAGGGCCTTTTGTTCATTCTTTAAAAAATTATTTCCCAATAGTCCATACACGCATTGGCTTCAGAAAATGGTGGATGATGTCATGGCTGTGGGCCATTATTATATTATCTAGTTGGGCTTGTATAGTGGGCTAGCCCAAAGCCCTTTTTGTTCGATATAGGGTTGAAGCTGGAAGAATGGGAATGGTGAATTGATGAATTGGCTTGCAGCCCGTGTTCTTCCCCCTTTCCTCCTTGTCTTCTTCTTCTTCTTCTTCTTCTTCTTCTTCTATTGCTTCTCTGTTCTCCCTCCACTGGTCCATTGTCTGCTGGTCCATATCTTCACTTTTATATTTGTCATTTTAATTGTAATCCCCTACATTGTAATAGAAGGTATGAATATATGAAATATTTCAGATTATGTTCTTCAATTGGAGTTATTACAATTTATATCCTGCATCTTGAGTTTTAGTTGCTGGTTATTGGTTGAATTTGATTGGTTTTGGTTGAAGTTGAGCTCCAACCATTACAAGTGGTATCAGAGTAGTGCGTGAGCTGGGGAAGAAAATGGAAAGTTTTAGCAAAAATCAGGAAGAACAATTTGAAAGGATCGGAAAGAAACTGGGATTTCTGAGAGTTACTAGAAAATCATGGGATCAAATGTTGAAGGTGATCGACACTAAGCAGGATAGGATGGAGCAATTAATGGGGAAAATGAAAAGAAAAAATGAATTGATCATCTCAATGTTGACCAAAATGATGGAGGCTCAATCAGTACATATCCCTAATAGCATTACTGGAATATCTGGCAATTGCTGCAATGTGCAGGGAAAAGATTCTGAAGGCCACTCAACAGAAGCTAGTGTTAGCAAGGTAATTAAAAATTATTTTACCTTAGAAGATTTCAAGCAATACATAGTCTCGGTAAATCAAGATATTGAGGTGCCTATTTCTGATGATAATTTAAGTCAATATGCTCAATCTCTGCCTAAGTATATGGGTAATACTAGGCTTCCTAAGATTGATTTTCCCCACTTTGGAGGAGAAGGACCCTGTGAATGGCTTAGGAAGGTTAGTGAATACTTCCAGATACACCAAGTTTCTGATGAACTTAGGCTAGGAATTGCAAAGATGTATTTGGAAGGGAGGGCTTATGTATGGTTTTATGGATTCATTACCAATCACCCTGGAGCGGACTGGAGCTTGTTTTCTGATGAGCTTTGCATGAGGTTTTCAGAAACTATTGAGGAAGAAGTAATTGAATCATTTAACAAGACAAGGCCTTTGGGAATAATGGCAGAACATCAGGAGAGTGAGGAGTCGGTCCCTGAAAAGATACAAGGAGGTGAAGAAGTCATGGAGGTATCAATCGATGCTTTAGTTGGAAATCCGAAGCACAAAACTATTACAGTGCCTGGGATGATTAAAGGAAGAAGAGTGTCCATATTGATTGATAGTGGGAGAACCACCCACAATTTCATTGAGGAAAAATTAGCTAAGGAGTTGAAATATGCCATTGATGAAACTAACAAGGTTACAATTAAGATAGCAAATGGGGAAAAACTAGAAAGTAAAGCCTTGGGTCACTCAGTGATGTGGAAGATTCAAGGATGGGAGTTTCAATTCAAACTCAGGCCACTTAAGCTATCAAAGAGTGACATGGTACTAGGGGTAAATTGGATGAATTAGTTTGGTCCAATCACATTTGATTTTGTACAAAGGTGTGTCCGATTTAGCAGCGATGATGAAGTGGTGGAATTGAGGAGCATAAATTTTAAAGAGCCTGTAAAGAGAATAGAGGATGTGGAAAGAATGTTTGGTAAAGAACCTTATGGGATAGTGGGACAGTTGTACAATATTGGAGAGGAGAAAAGTGGAGAGATACCTAACAAGATATTGGAGATTATCAACATATTTCCCAGGGTGTTT